TATTTATTTATTTACAGAGGTTTTGGATTTCCATTCATTCACTGCTGCAATTTTCTCCCTTCCCACCCCTCCCCACCAGCTCTCTTCCCCCTCCAAAGAGAGAAAAAAAAAAAGAAAAAAAATTCCTCCATTAGTATACAATTCCCACGTCCCTTCCCCCCAGCCCCCACCCCAAGTACACTTCTCTATTTTTAAGAGAAAGTCTTAAATACCATTACTGTAAAAACTCCATAATTATACTAAAATTTCAGAGTTCCTTTTGAAAGGAATACAATTTTGACTGTTTAGGTTTCAGAAGCCTCAGATAGCCTAAATTTTTTCCGTAACAATTTCTATTTTATAACCTAAAATATTTGAGTGAAGGAAAAACCAGAACATTAAAAGAGCAGCTATTTTTAATCCACCACCCATCTGGTAGTTTGTCATACCACGATGGTTTGTGTGTTACTGTGATGTAAAGACTAAGGTTGAATATAATGAAAAGGGTAAGGTTATGGAATATGTAAAATTCCTTGTGAAATGGGAATTTCATTATATTTGCTAAAATATACACTGTAATAAACATGAGTTTCTATCCTTTGAATCTTCATCAATATTTCAATTCCAGCAGAATCACCAAAAGGAAAGAGATCAGCAGAGATTCTGGATTAATAAAGACCAGAAGAAAACACTTGAGGACCTACCTCTAAAAATTAGCCAATGAAAATCTTTATGGATCCCAACAGAATATTGTCTGATGCAATGCTGGACATATCACAGAGTTGAAACCAACCCATAGCTGACTTTCCATTGGGTTTTCAGTCAGTAACTGCATGGAATGAATTTGCCCATCCTTCTCCCACAGAGCAGCTGGTGGCCTCAAACCATGTACTTTGGGGATTTCAGTGTTACTAGGTCAAAAATTAACTCAACCATACCAATGATTAGGAAGCGGTGCAGGACCAGGCACCACCATTCCATTTAGTTATATATATCTAAGGTCGCCTTGAGTTGGAGCTGCCTCCACAGCCAATGAACATCAAGCAGCTGCTATAGCAGTCAGATTCAAGAATAAAAAACACACAGAAACATTTTTAAAAAATATTTATGATCATAAATAGGCCACTGTTGTCACAATACAGTTCAGAATTGGAAAACAAGTATTTTGGCTGTGTAGGCAAAAGTTGGGGTTTTTTTTAACATATCAATTCCCTCATCATTGAAAGTACTTGTACATGTTAAAATTTCCAGTCTCTTAAGGCACAATATTTATTTAATCAGAATGCTAAGTTCACCATTCACTGCAGCACAAATAAGAGGCAAGGTATTAGCAATAAGAAAAATCAGTAAAGTCTAAGGACAAAATTGCCAGTCATTTAAGGACAGAGAAACAGACTAAGTAAGTAATGAATATTTTTGTTAAGAAGCTCCAATATTTTTATACAGGACAATGTGTTAAATTTTTTTAAAAATTCAAACATTTAATTCATCTCAGAGGAATTTATGAAAAAAGAGACATGATATTAATCATCACGTACTTTTTTCAGAAAGAGTCTGAGAGGGGGAAAAAATCAACTTAGAATAGTGTATAGAGGAAGTAACATCATATAGAACTGAGGTAAAAGTCCTAGTTTATTATTCATCTTCAAATAAATTCAGAAAATAAGCAGAGTAAACCTAACACTTACGTACATACTGCATGGCATCTGTCCCCTAACCAGCAGTCTGTCCCACTCTTAGCTTATCACTCACCAACTAATGTAATGAAATCCTGCAACTGGAGGGTTAAATTGTATTTTTTCATCCAACCCAAAATTTCCTTCAAATATAGCATCAAAATAAAAACTAATTTTAAACTCTGACTTGTTTGTCCTCTGTGATTTGTCCCACTGAACTTTACAGTTTTTATGTACAAAATATGTAGTGATTTAGTGTTTCCTTTAAAAGAAAAAACTCACAAGGTTAGTGATTGTCCACAGATGAAACATGGGATGAGGTTCATGAATGAACTGATCGTGGAGTGTTAGTCAATTGTAAACTCAACGTTAAGACTGGGAAATGTGTTTATCAGACACATTAGAGTACAGGAGACTGAGGGAACCCTGGCTGTCATTCCAACTCTGACAAGGTGCATGGTCTTCGGAACTCCTGTCCACGTTCATGGAGCCATTTATTGGATACTGCAAGGGAAAAGAAAAATGTAAATTTCCCTTTATAATTAGAATTTCATTAATTCTAAGAATAAAGTCTCTAACAAAGTTTCGACATAGGCTAAAACTTCAAGACCAAACCTAGACTTCTGTAGTCTACATTAAAAATACACATATTAATGTATCTCTCAAAACTCTTATAGCCCATGTATGGTATATATTTTTGAAAAGTCCTAAAGTACATGTATGGTCTATGTCCTAAAGCTTCTAGTGTTTACTGTGAAGTCTGAAATGAGACACAAATGCAAGTCACATGCAGGTCCAAAGAGAATAAAATGTGTCCTTATTCACTGTTGGTGGGAGTGTAAAATGGTGCAACCATTATGGAAGGCTATATGGTGCTTTCTCAAAAAGTTGCAAATAGATGTACCATTTGACCCAGCAATTACATTATTGGGAATATACCCCTAAAGAAACCATAACCTCCACCCAAGCAGATATATGCACACCCACGTTTATCGTGGCTTTGTTCACAAGAGCAAAGAGTTGGACACAACCTAAGTGCCCATCAACAAATAAATGGATAAAGAAGCTGTGGTATATTCACACAATGGAATACTATGCTGCATTGAAAAACAAGGAACTCATAAAAATTGTTCAAAATGGGTGACCTTGGAGGAAATTAAGCTACACGAAATATCTCAGTCACAAAAGGACAAATACTGCATAGTGTCACTGTTGTAAAATGAAACTGACATCGAGGTTGGGGGAAGACTGAGAAAGATGGGATAAATTATGTATACTACATTGAAACAGATGAGGGAGAGAACTGTTTAAAAGGGATATATGCTGAGGTATTATGGACAGAAGTCCAGAACGAAGGCTGCATAATAGAGTGGACTTGGGGGGAGGGATTATATAACAATGAAAGAATTTTTCTTTTACTTTTCAAACTGGGGGGCGGTGGCAGGGAGAAGTTGGGCAGGGAGAAAAGTGTAGCAATGAATGCATGGAAATCCAAAGTCTCTGTAAACTTTCATTAAAATTAATAAAAATTTTAAAAAAGGAAGAAATGTGGTTTTACTGCTTTTCTATCTTAAAAATCAACAAAAAGTTTCCACTCTGGGCTGGGCTATTTCCCATGTAAGCCAGGTGAACAAGCCACCCCTCAGTCAGTCCTGGAGAACAGAACTGAATGGGTAGATTTGAGGACACAGGGCAGCTGCATAGATTAGAGAGGACTGAGGATTATTTTCAAGTGTTGAAGTAAAATTTGCTCTGCTGCATTTCTAACTTAAAATAAAAAATAAACAAACCATCTCCACTCTAAAATGCAAATCGTTGCCACTGTATGTTCACTAAGTTTCCTTGGTTCCAAGATATTTTCTTTCCCCTTTTTTCTGATATCTTAAAAATATTTTTTTTACTCCTTCATCTCCTGTATTGTCACAGAACCCAGTGGCAAAATGTACAAAATACCTAAACAATTGTAATTCTTAACCTCTCTTCTATCTTTTGTTCATCCTAAATTAATCTTCTCTCTACCATGAATTCATTCTGGTCCTTTCATTGCTGCCTTAGTGCAGGCTTCATCACTACCTGGAAACAGCCTTCTAAGAAAATCTCTGCAACACTATATTCTCCTTGCTCTAGTCCAGGGGTTTCAAAACATCATCATCATTAGGGAGATTTAAAAATCCTGGTGATTACACATCATCTCTTAATCTTACACTGTTCAATGCAGGTGATGAGAGATACAAGACCATAAACACCTGGCATGTGGCAGGGGCCCTATACTGAAATAGATATTGTTGATGTTGCTGTTAAGTGCCCTCGAGTTGAGTACGACTCATAGTGACCCTATCAACAAAAGACCTGAACCCTGTTCTGTAACTATCATCATTTCTCTATGTTCATAGTTTTCAGAGGCATGTGGTTTAGGAAGTGGATGCTAGTCCTGCTTCCAAACCTTAATCAGTCTGGGAGTTCCACCAAACACTGTCCACACTAGGTAACCATTATGGCATTTGACAAACCTATGGCACAGCAGTCAGCATCACAGCAACCCCAAGCTACTTCTGTACAGCTACTATGGAGACCACTATACAGATATGTTGTTGTTGATTGTCATCGAGTCAAGCACAACTTAATAGTGACACAACCCTGCTTGTTCAAACTGAGGAGGTCCTGAAGTGCTTGCTGCAGAGGGTCAAGGACTGCAGCCTTCAACATGGATTGAGGCTCAATATCAAGAAGACAAAGATTCTTCCCCACTGGGCCAGTTGGCAGCATCAGGATAGGTGGAGAGATTGAGATTGTTCACAGCTTTAGTTTGCTTGGCTCTACAGTCAACACTCTCGGCACCAGCAGCCAGGAAATTAAAAGACATATAGCCATGGGAAAGTCTGCTGTTAGGGACCTCTTCAAAGTACTGAAGAGCAATGGTGCCTCTCTGGAGACTAAGGTGCATCTGATACAGGCTATGGTCTTTGGAATCACTTGTTATGCATCAGAGAGCTGGACAATGACTAGGGAGGATAGAAGGAGAACTGATGCCTTTGAGCTGTGGTGCTGGAGAAGAGTATTGGGGGTACCATGGACTGCTAAGAAAACAAACAGATTCATCCTGGAGAGGGTTAAACCAGGCTGCTCCTTGGAGGCAAGGATTCTGAGGCTTCGTCTGACATACTTTGGTCATGTTGTAAGGAGAGACTGGTCCTTGGAGAGGGACATCATGCTTGGGAGGGTAGAGGGCAGGCACAGGAAGGGAAGGCACTCTATGAGGTGGATTGATCCAGTGACTGAGGTAATCGGGATGGGTGTATCAGAGAAAGTGAGATTGGCACAGGGCAGAGCAGAGTTTAGGGCTGTTGTACATAGGGTCACTATGAGTTGCAAGTGACTCGGCGGCACATAACAATAACAACATGAACAAAAGGCCTAAGGCCTTTCTAAAACTACTGTCATTTATCAAAGTTCATTGTGTTTCCAAAGGCATGTTGTTTATGAAGTGGATAAAACACACTGTTAAAATAAATTTCACCTGCCACTTTTTCTTTTTTTTTCATATGACAAAGCCTGAGTCATGACCTTCAGGACTCCTTACAATTTCATTAGCCTCATCCTAAGTTTGGTCTTGATCACTAAGTGCCAGATCAAATTTTAAAACTAGGTTTTGGAAAAGGTTCCAAACTTAAGAACTCATTATCATCTGTTACCATCTTTGTATTAATGTGCTCATTGCTACTGAGTCAGAACGAACTCTCAGGTAACCTTTTCAGAGGCTCTCAGTCACAAGGTAGGCCACTGCCCATCTTCTTCCAGCACATACTGGAAGGTCTGAAATGCCTGCCTTTGGCCTGGTAGACAAATGCCTTACCCAGGAGTCTATAACAACTCTCTATCTTTGTATTAATATGTATCCACTTCCTAAACAACATACCTCTGGAAATTCTATGAACTTTGATAAATGACGATAGTTATAGAAAGGTTTCCGGTCTTTTATTATTAGTGTTGCTTGCTATGAGTCATGCTCGACTCAATGGCAATCAACAACAACGTATTTCTCCATTAATAATCTGAAGCAAATTCTGAATATTCTGAGAAAATAAATGTCTTATCTGACGTTAAATTAATTTTTCTTAGAAAACAAGCAGAAATATAGTTAAAATTTCTACGGTATAAAATTAGAGCAAATTAAACAGACTTTTATCTATTGAATGCAAATATACATAAAGATCAGAAATGTGGCCTTGTATTTAAAGTGTTAAAGTTCTAGTAGAGCTATCTGCTGAGAGTTTTATTTTCTTCAAAGATGTTGATTTTAAAATACAGAACAAAAATTCCATTCAGAGAAAACAGGAAATATTTACCCCATTTGTTTCCAACTAGTACTGGACAGGCTGCATGCCGCGTACTATAATCTCCTTCTCCACTGGCAAACAGATTATACCAGAAAACAGCAGTTCCCTGTGGTGAGCAACAAAAAATTATCCTCAAATAAAATGACAAGTCATCACATTCAGCAGTACTTAACACTTCCTGCAGAAGGATTCTTCCACAGTTGCATGAGACCTTGCTCTCCTATAAAAAATGTTATCACTTTAAGCATTTTTACGAAACATATGAGAAAGCTAATACAACAAAGATGCTTAATGAAAAAGGTGTTTGTCAAAAAGCCAAGGGTTTCATTAGCAAGATAAGTCTAACATGTGGAACTACGGAGCACTGAATTACAAAACATGGCCCTTCTGTGTTGCTATTGCTAGATGTCACTGAATTATGATGTCTCATAGAAACCCAACAATCAACAGATCTGAACCGTGTCCTATCCTGTGCCCATCGAGGCACACTAACATACTATGGACTGACAAAAGAATAAACAAATAAATTCCTCATTTAGAATGCTGCTTAGACTCACATATTTTAGATATGTTAAGAGAAGGGGCCAGTACCTGGAGAAGAACATTATGTTTGGGAAAGCAAAAGGTCAGAGAAAAGGAGGAAGACACTCAACAAATAGACTGACATGGTGGTTGCAACAAGGGGTATAAGCATGGCAAGGCTCACAAGGTGACCCAGGACCTACAGGGTTTCATTCTGTTGTACACAGGCATGTGGGGAGCCCTACATCTTTCTAAATGCTCACCAAACACTGGATAGGAAATTGTGCAAGAGAGGTGTCCACAGTACACAAGGAGACTGACTAGATTTCTAATAAATATAAGTGAGAAGCACGGTACCCTTGTGTGGAGGATACTATGTAAAAGGTGTGTAGAAACCTAGCAGGAGAACTGGTCAGTTTTGTCAAGCTGGCAGGCTTAAGGTGAAACATGTGGGACAGGGATGGCTGTACTCAGAAGACAGTGAGAGCTGGCAGTGCAGCAGTAATAAGAATGACAGAAAATGTAGTCCTTAAATAGGGATCTTTTAAACCCATTAGTTAGAGCATAAAACACAGGTGACCCGTCTACCCAAGGAAAAAGTGAAAAGATAAAAGAAAACCAAGCAAAAAAAAAAAAACCAAACAAACCAACAAGCAAAGCAACTTTACCTTTTTGGGCCAAACGCTAGCTCCTACTTCAGGAAAAACAGTGGCTCCCCCTGCTGACACGTCACTCATCTACAAGACAAGAGGGAACTTGAGATCAGGAGGTGTGGGGCAGAATAAAGTAAAATATACCACTGTGAGGAGAATTCAAGTGGATTAAAAAATTTAGACTTCTATTTAGATGGTTGGGTTTGTGTATGCAACTTAGTTTTTCAAAATCAAAACAACATGAGATACCATATTGCCCCAGTAACAACAGCAAAGTTCAACAGGGCAGCAAACAACAAACACTGGTGAGGTTGTGGAGAAACTGGAACTCTTATTACTGGTGGGAGTATAAAATGGTACAACCACTATGGAAGGCAGTATGGCATTTTCTCCCAAAGCTGGAAATAGAGATGCCATTTGACCCAGCAACCCCACTAGTAGCAATATACCCTAAAGAAATCATAGCTTCCACCCAAACAGATGTATGCATACCCATATTTACTGCTGCGTTATTCACAATAGCAAAGAGATGAAAGCAACCCAAATGCCTATCAACAAGTGAATGGATAGGAAAACTAGGGTATATTCACACAATGGAATACTATGCAGCACTGAAAAGCAAGGCACTCATAAAATATTATACAACATAGATGACCCTGGAGGACATTATGCTGAGTGAAATATCTCAACCACAAAAGGACAAAAACTGTAGAATACCACTGTTATAAAAAAGGAATTACAAGGAAGTTGTGTGGTAACAAAGAAAAGGGGATAAATAATGAACACTGCACTGCAACAGATGAAGGAAAGAACTGTTTAAAAGGAATATAAGTATGAAAACAGTACAGAATAAGAGATATATAGCAAAGTGACCAGGCAGCAGGGTTGAGTGGTGAAGGGAGGAAATGATGCAACAATGAACAAGTACACTGGGGATGTAGGAAGGAAAATATTCAACCATGTATGAATGAAAATAAAACTTTTCTGTAAATTTGTTAAAATCACAATTAAAAAGTGGAAAACAGAACAGAGAAAACCCCAATCTGCTATTTAGGCTTACAAACATGAGTGATAAAACCAAAGATAAAAGCATGGGTGTGAATATGCCCCTCCCCCAAAAAAGACAGAAAGAAGGCTATAGACATAATGTAAGATATTCATAGGTAAAAAAAGATGACATAAGACTTAAAACTGATAAATAATAGAGACACACACACACACACACACACACACACACAATATTATAATGTATTATAATTTAAGCTCCTTGAGGGCCAAACTTCTGTTTATCACAGAATTTTTAGAGTACAGAATACTACTTCCAAAATAGTATGTGTTTAAAACTATTTCTTTAAATGAGCAAATGTGAATAAAAGAAATTAAATGCCAAGAGACAAATAATAATGCACTAAAATCAGTTTTGTCATTTTTCATGGTTGAGAATCAAACACTGAAAATGAGACTATCTAAGAATTACATCAAATTAATCATAGAGACAATGTAGAACAAAACATAACCTCTCAAGAGCGAAGCAAGCCAAGCACAGAGTGAGTAGAGAGCAAGACAGATGGAATCTGAGTGAGAAATATTATTTAAAAAATTCGTTTAGGAGCCTCAGAGGAGAGCAGCATGCCTCGATGAGGAGCAGTGAGCCTTGGTGAAGAGCAGTGAGCCGTGGTGGGCCCCACCTGCCATGAGCAAGTAGGACAGTGGGAATGTGAGTGAGGTACTTGGGGGGATCACTGCTGATTGCTGGACCAATTGTGGGACCCCATCACCTTAAACAGGAGGGAGTGAGACAGTTGGAGCTCTACTGGGGTGGCAGACCCAGTTCTCAAGGCAAAAACTAAGGCTTCCCAGCTTTCCCACTCAGGTACCCTACCCCACCCACACCCCGGCACACAACCTCCCTCCTGTGTGGCTCTGCGTGCATCTGTGCATGCACCCACCCTAAGACCCTACGTGCACCTGTGTAGGTGCCTGCCCAACCTTCTTCTGGAGCAGTGACATCAGATCAAGAACCAGTTATTGCCTCAGGCACGAAAAACTCTACCACAGCAATGTCAGGAAGAAGCAGACAACCTCACTTCCTACATAAGCTCAAAGCAAGATATCACCCCAATAAAATGACACAGTATCGGTGGATTTCCTGAAGCCAGAAAGTCGGATGAAATGTTCTGACACAGAATTTAAGAAAAAAATGATTTAATATCTTCAATGGGTGAAAAGCAAACATGAAGAATTACAGGATACTGCAAGCGAAAACTAGGAGGAGCTTAAAAAAAATCCAAAACAATGCACATAAAACAAATGAGACACTGGAAAAAACAAGAAACTACAATCCAAAATATAAGGTCCAATGTTTCAGATGCTGTCAATATGATGGAAAACAGAGTTCAAGAGATGGAATACAGAATGAGTGAAATGGAATATAGAATTGTCACCATTGATCTGCTAGAGCAAAAAGCATAATCAAAAAGGAAGAGAAAAGAAGAAAACCTAAGAATAATATGAGACACCATCAAGAGAAGTAACACACACATCATCAGAATCCAAGAACAGGAAGAATTAAGGCATAGAAAAAGTTGTGGAAGAATTCCTATAAGAAAACTTCTCAGGCATAATGAAGAATAAAAACATATATTCAAGAAGCTGAGCAAACACCATACAGAATAGATCCCAAAAGAAAAAAGAAGAAGCCCTAATCCATAACGTAAACAGTCTTCCACGCATCCTGAAAAACCTACAACCGGGTGAGGATAAAATAGATGAATGGGACCTTCTAAGAATCAAATCCCTACGCACATCCAAAAACTTCTCCAAGAGAGTAAAAAGGAAAGCCACATACTGGAAAAAAGTTTTTGGTAATGACATGTCAGATAAGGGACTTGTATCTAGAATTTATAAAACACTCAAGCACAAGATAAAAGAAAACAACCCAACTGAAAAATGGGCACAGGACATGAACAGACAGTTCCTCAAAGAAGACATTCAGCTGGCCAAAAAAACACATGAAAAAATGTTCAAAATCCTGAGCGCTCAGAGAGATGCAAATCAAAACAATTATGAGATATCATCTCATCCCAATAAGAACAGCAAAATTTAACAGAACAGCAAACAACAAATTCTGGCAAGGTTGTGGAGAAACTGGAACCCTTCTTCACTGTTGGTGGGAGTGTAAAATGGTGCAACCACTATGCAAGGTAGTATGGTGCTTTCTCAAAAAGTTGCAAATAGAAGTATCATTTGACCTAGCAATTCCACTACTGAGAATATACCCTAAAGAAATCACAACTGGCTTTGTTCACAATTGCAAAGAGTTGGAAATAACCCAAGTGCCCATTAACAAACGAATGGCTAGAGAAGTTTTGATATAGTCACACAATGGAATGCAATGCTGCATTGAAAATCAGGAACTCATGAAATAGTATTCAAAATGGATAACTGCGGAGGACATTATGCTGAGTGAAATATCTCAGTCACAAAAGGACTAAATAGTGCCATTGTTGTAAAGCGGGTCTGACATCAGAGTTGGGGGAAACTAAGAGGGGATAAATAATGTATACTGCATTGAAACAGATGAGGGAGAGAACTGTTTAGGGGAAATATATGATTAGGTATTGTAATGACATGAGTCCAGAATGAATGCTGCGTAGTGGAAAGGACTTGGGGAGGGGGGGGTGGAACTGTATAACAATTAAAGAAATTTTTTTTTACTTTTCAGAGAGAAAAGCTAAATGAAGGAAAGGGAGGAGAGGGGAGGGCAGGGAGGAAAGTGTGCAACAATGAATGAATGGAAATCCAAAGTCTCTGTAAACTTTCATTAAAATTAAAAAAATAGATAAAAAAATCAACTCTCCAAAATAAAAGTAACATATGTTAAGGAAACATTGATTATATAGCAGGGATCTCTTTTAAAAGCAATACAAGCAGAATGTACAGATACATTCAGATTGTACCATAAAACAAACACAATTATATGTTGTATTAAAGTATCACCTCTAGAACAAGTAACTACAAATATTAAATACAAATATGCAGTAGAAGAGAAAACAAGGCTTTTATTTTAATAACAGGTATCATTTAGATAAAGATAAAAATATTAAATAAGTTAAAAGAAGTATACTATATGATAAAGGATATAAGGAATATAAAAAACTATCTGCTCTTAAATAATTAGTAAACTAACTTTGAAAAAATTTTTTAAAAGTTGCGCAGAAAATGAAAAAGAAGAGACTGCCAAAAGAAAAGATATGTTTTAGAATCAGTGCAGCAAGGCAGCTTCTTAGAAGGATGGTGAGACTGTGCCTCATATCTTTGAACATGCGGTTATGATGAGCCAACATGCTCATCATGCTTGGAAAACTATAGGGCCAATGAAAGAGAGGATCTTCAATGAGACGGACTGACAGAGTTAATGCAAAAAGAAATCACTTTTTGGGCCTGAGGATGGTACCAAGACTATGCAAGGATTAGAGCTCCAGTACACAGGAATGGAGTTTGTCTCTCAATATGGCTTTTGTAGTGAGGATGATGGACTACTTGGAGAGGCAGGACTTTCCAAGTGAGACATGTATGTTGGCTTGTCCACAAAAGGACTGGTTGCCATCCCACAAGGGACTATCCAATCTCAGCAATCTACAAGAGGATCAGCTAATCTTGCCCATAAATTGAACAGCTCTAGCTGCAGAAACTAGATCTTCCCCATCAGAAGAGATAATTCTTCCCCGGCCAGAGAAAAGAGATGTCCCATAAAACGTAGGACATGCTTTGGGACAGCAGCAGCAATGACTGAACTGGACAAATGATGTGAGATGGAACTTTTGAGGGGAGAGGGAGATGGAAGGGGAAGAGGAAGCCAAGAGTGGCACAATTGAGTGGAGAGTCAATACTGGCAGGACTAAGAATTTGGGAATATTTATGAGCCATAAGACTTGAGGCTAAGGTAACTCTGTTCATACTTTGGGAGCTGTCCTGACTATATTCTGTTATTAATCCGGATTACAGCCTTTTGACATCCCCAATATGGTTCTGTGTTGTCGGTGAGCTACTACACTGGATTTTGGAGCCAGTAAACCAGTAAT